GTGTGTGTGTGTGTGTGTGTGTGTGGGCATTTCAACTCAGCAACCACGCAAGCTCCAGCGCAAAAATTTTGCCAGCAGGTCCTCCAATCAAGTGCCATCCAGGACCGTTGCACCAACCCTCACGCACGTCTTGGCTCCGCGTACGGCCATGTTAGTTTGAGCGAGAAAACCGCTAACTTGGGAACCAGAAAAGTTGGGAGGCTGTAATTTTCAGCAGATGTTCCCAGCCGAAGTAAAAGATTTCAAATTCAGCCCCTTGTTACATGTGGTGCTAAAGTATGGCCCGTGAAAGTTTTTGAAGGGAAAATTGCTAACTCAGGAACCAGAAAAGCTGGGAGACTGAAATTTTGGGGAGAAATTTCCCGTCCAAATTGAACTTAAAAATTTTATTTTTTTTTTTTAAATTCAGCCTCCAAGTGCGGGTATTTCTCACGCATGGTTCCGTAAAAATTTTTGCTAAGAAAACTGCTAACTCGGGAACCAGGAAATCTGAGAAATTGAGATTTTAATAGAATGTTTCCAACTCACTTGGAACTGGAAGATTTCAAATTCAGCCCCCTGATATGCACGTGATACCCACGATGGCCTCGTGAAAGTTTTTGGCGGGAAAACCGCTGACGCGAGAACCAAGAAAGCTGGGATTTTAACAAAATCTTCCCTTTCCAACTACCACATTGTAGTTGCACAATTATCTTCCTGAGATTCGAGGACCAGCATGTCACAAGTTCTACCTACTGTGACTCCAAGCAATCTTATTACAGCGCGAAGTGCTGCAAAAACGCATGATCGCATCGGCTCCCCTGGTGCGCGTTGCCAGTGGTTTTTTCTTTTGTAATAAGAATAGCTTATTTTTTTCAGTTTTAAATTTTAATGGTCAAAAATGAGAGTTTTGTTTCGTCCGGCCGCAGATTGCTGAAATCAGCTGTGACAGTCTTTCCCATTCCAAATGTGGTCACTAAAAGTACGTAAGTATGGCTGTTTTGCAGCTCCCGGCCGCGATTCCAATGGTAGCACACGGATCGTCGCCACAGCCATACGGGACGCCAACAACAGTGCCTCCGATTGGAGTGGCCACAGTGCCACCAGTTGGAATAGCAACAGTACCGCCTGTTGCAGTAGCACCAGCAATACCAGCGGTCGGAATAGCCACACGTCCTGCAGTTGCAGTAGCCACCCCGCCCCCTCCGCCAGCAGCAGCATCCACATCGGGGCTGTACTCCCCAACAGTCCCTCCACCACCACCACCCACCACTGTCACTCCTGTCTACCAGGCAAGTGGATTTTTGACAATAATAACACTGAATTCGGTAACATGCGCAGCACCGGACAACGTGAATTTTCAGCATTTTCATTGTTTCATTTATTAAATTTGTTCAGACCAAAAGGACAAACAAATTGGCCTGCGTTTTTCGAAAAAGTAGTTTTTCGTTGCGCGCAAATTCCAGTTCAGATTGACCGGTGCTGTTTGTGGATCCGTTAATTTTAGAGCGGGCAGTCAGAAATTATCCTCCCTTTGGAGGCTTCTGCGACGAAGAATAGTTTTTCTAAAAAAGTTTTTTACGACGAATTGAATTTTCCGGTGAAATACGTCTTCATTGTTCGAAATCTCATATATAACAAACCTACTCTTTTCATACCGCTTTCTGTTGGAAGAGGAAGTCCTGGGTACTTCCCTATATCAGTCGCAGTGTTTATACTAAACAAGGTGGGAAAAGGAGCGGTGAGGGCTGGAGATCCGTGTCAAAATCAGTTTTGTTACCCCCGCTCTACCCCTCTCCCCTTGTATCGGTGGATATGTGCAATAAATTCATTGTAATTTAACTTCCTTCGTTAAGAGTTTCATAACTGTGCGAGGTAGTGGTGAAAATGCTAAATTATCACGGACAAGTACTTGTCTCTCCATCATCAAATTTCCGAGCAGCTTAGGCATCCGGTTTTGGTGTGGGAATGGCAGCTCGCTGGGCGGTATCGACGACTGCAAAATACAAATCTTGCTACTTTCGGGCGCATCGCGAAAACTGTGTTGCATTATGCCTGGCTAATCTTGAGAATACCAAAATAGGCAGACACATTCTTAAGCCAAAATATCTTTACTGCGGATCATTTGCGCACAAAATGTGCTCGTTTTTGTTAGTAAAACAAAAAAAAAGGTCAAAAACTCCGAAAACCAATTTTTTGCCCTTCTGAAATCGAAATATTTTTAAAATTAGTTGTGTTTTGCAGATTCCCACGCCGCCTCCACCAGCTGGAACACCACCGCTACCTCCAGGATCACCTGTAGCATCTGGCGGCCGCCGAGGTTTTGGTGGATATGCGAAGCAAACTCCGCCAGTCCAAGTTGTTATTCCACCACCACAAGTCATCTCATCCGTGCCGTTACCGGCAAGCTCAATTCCCGTCCCACCAACAGCGGTAGGTTTCTTGGAAACTCATGTGGGCATGATTCAGCAATTGCACAGAGCTCTTGCTCAGCGCGGATCACTTTTGATTATAGAAGAGAACTAATTTCGCCACTGACGGAGTCATATTTTTCCCGCAAATTTGCTATCTCAATTTTTTTTAATATATTTTTGCTGTCTTTTTTTTCTGTTCTCGGTTTCGAGCTTATCGCACCTATGTAGCTACATAGAGCGCTCTCAAATAGACCCTTGTCACTGGTGACTTTCTCAGCGTTCATTTAACATTACTGCTTACTCGTTCTCGATTATCTTCAGTTTAGCACTTTTAAAAATATGTTATCGTAATAAGTTTGCTTTCGCCAGTGCAGGACCACAAATTTGTTCGGATTTCAGCGAAGATTTTTTAAGTGCCGGAAAAGCAATAGGAAAGGCCCTAAAAAAAGAAAAACGCATAAAAATTAGTGCCATTCCCGCTGCGGTCGACATATGACTCTTTCTGTGAATAGCATGGCGAGCGGCCATCATTCCTTTTTTTGACTTCTGTTTTCTCTTATCGAAAAACTTCCTCTCACCAGAATTGCATGGAAGTCGTTCTGCAGGTGTCTTCAATACCTCCTCCGCCGCCTGCGATGCTTGCACCAACGCAGTCGCTGATATCCAGGATAAACATTGGAACGGCCACGAAGAACTGCTCGGTGGAACCTGCCACATTTGCTCCCTTACCAGCAAACATTGCGCCTGTTGATCGGAAACCGTTAGTTGTTTGATTTTGAAAGACGCTGTTAATTGCAATTCCCCGGTGTGAGCTACAGGACGGGAATTGGGGGAGGGGCGAGTATACTGATAGTATCAGTCATTGGCCCACTTAGTGGTACTTATCGTGCCCAAAAAAAGATGTAAGCACAGCATCTAACACGTAGTTTCGTTAAGTGGTACAGCTGGCTTTTCATAAAACTGCGCGAAAGTTGACAAAAACAGGGAACAGAAAAATATGCACAGCTTATGGCTGCTGAGTTTTATGCGAATGGACTTCGATAAAGGCATATGTAAAGAGATAAAAATCAGTGCAGACGAACACACAGATACACACACACACACACACGCACACAGACAACCCTTCGTCAGTATGCGTTTTCTGCATTGCATAGCTGCAAAAAACGCATAAAAGTGCTCAAACTACATGATAATTTATATAAAACGGTTAAAATATATTGCAATTTGAAGCTTTTTGTACCGCTCTTCCAGGGATATTTACAGTTTTAGAGTATCTACGACATTTTCCCCCTTCCCCTCCTTCGAGAATGGTCATTTGGGGCGGTCCACATTTCTTATGTCTCTTATTTTATAGTACGGCCAGCGCGGGCAGTTCCGGGACGGGTCAGCTCGC